GTGCACATATGGACACCCTTATGCTTGAACATGGTGTTCACTCCGTGACGAGCACAGAAGTCCAATAACAAAACACCACTTGAGTTCAGATCAGGGGGGCCGTTCCTCCCAATCCCGCCCCTCCAGGTCTCACTGTCAACACCACAGACTTTTGTAGGTGGGACAGACTTTGCGAGACATCACATTGTGAAGTATTTTGCATCTGCAGGGTCTGTTGACAACCTCTGGGACACATGCACAGTCCATATCATGTCCACTTCCATGAGGAGCACAGTGACTGTACCACATTAACTCAGCACCTTCAAATTCAATTCATATTCCATTCAAATTCAATTCAAATTCATAGAACTTTTAACAAACATTGTCTCAAAGCAATTTATGGGGTCCTGGGCCCCAGGTAAATTCAGTGTGAGGTAAATTTCAGGCAGATGGTGGGAGAGCACAGGTAGGCAGGTGCAATATGGAGCAGGCTGAGGTTAACTGACAGGAAGCAGCCAGTAGTTATTAGAGGCACAATGTCACAGTGGGCCTGCGTTCATAGTAGGGTACCGCAGGGTTCAATTTTAGGACCACTATTGTTCCTAATTTACATTAATGATATTCACACCAATACAGTAAACTGGTTACATTTGCAGGCGACACCAAGGTGGGTGGTGTAGTAGATACTGATCTAGCAGCGGAGAGGCTACAATGGGATCTGGATTTAATTAGCGACTGGGCTAATACCTGGCAGATGAAATTTAACATAGATAAATATAAGGTAATCCATGCAGGGAGCAGAAATATAAAGTACAGATATTTTATGGGTTCCACTGAAATAAAGGTAGCTGATTACGAGAAAGATCTCAGTGTGTATGTTGATGCTTCCATGTCCCACTCTCGCCAGTGTGGGGAAGCAATAAAAAAAGCCAGTAGAATGTTGGGTTACATCTCTAGGTGTGTGGAGTTTAAGTCAAGGGAAATTATGCTGCGATTATATAATTCCTTGGTAAGACCCCACCTAGAATATTGTGTTTTGGTTTAAGGTTTGGTCACCATACCTTAAAAAGGACATTGCTGCCTTGGAAAAGGTGCAACGTAGGGCTACGAGAATGATTCCTGGTCTTAGAGGAATATCTTATGAGGAGAGGTTAGCTGAGCTGAATTAGTGGGAGAACATTTTAAAACAAATTTGAGGAAGCACTTCTTTACACAGCGTGCAGTTGGAGTATGGAATAGTCTTCCTGTTAGTGTAGCGCAAGCTAAAACCCTAGGTTCCTTTAAATCAGAGCTAGATAAGATTTTAACAACTCTGAGCTATTAGTTAAGTTCTCCCCAAATGAGCTTAATGGGCCGAATGGCCTCCTCTCGTTTGTACATTTCTTATGTTCTTCTGTTCAGGCAGGTAGACAATCAGGCAGGCAGATGGACATGTGGAGCCTGCAGAAACACCTCCATGTGCTTCACCCCAGAAACAAGGAGGGGATAAGGAATGTGCATGGGCATGTGCAGAGCGTAAAAGTAGCAATGCATGACAAAGCAACAATGCATGACAGCAGCGTGAGTGCCCTATAGAAGGGCCGTGTATGGTAGCATAAACAGAAAGGAGAGGCAAGGGGGGTTCGGCTGATTATTGTTAACTAAAATGATAGAAAACATTTTAATAAACTGACATAAAATAAGATCCGAAAATAAAATAAAAAAGCTACAACTAAATGTGGGCCTAAACTATAAATATTGCATCAGAAACCGAAATAAAAACATCAAATACAGTGGTACCTCAGTTCTCGAACTCATTAGAACTCGAATTTCTTAAAAGTCAAACCAACCAGTTTGAAAAAAAAATTACCTACAGCTGGATCTGAATCTCAGAAGTCAAACCGTGAACGCTGACCTAAGATAACTTGTACGTGCCGGGAAAGAGTCATGCTGTACGTCTCAGCTGAAACAAAGGGTAAAGCTTCAGTCTCAGCTTTGCATTAGTTGTGATAGCATCATTCATGTTTACACTAGCTGAATACATATATTTAGACAGTAAAAATACATTTAGACAACGATAGACAGTAACAGTAATTATTATTATATAATAAAATACATTTAAAAATAAAGATTTCTTATTCATTATTTTAATATTAATAACAAACCATTAATACATTTAATTATAATAATATTGTAGTGCCGAGTGGGGACGGAAACAAAGGCGCAGACGTCAGGGTATCGGGGAATACGGGGTTTAATTACAGGTAAGGCAGGCAAAACGCAGACGGACAATACAATGACCGTACTGGGGAAACAAACTGAAACGCGGAGGAAATACAGAGGACTAATGACAACAACCATAAACAGTTGATCACACGGGGATTCCACACGGGGTTAACGAGGGGGCGTGGCACATGGAAGGAGCGGACAATCGGGGCAGGGCACGTTTTTTTTTTTAACTTTACACATTGTTTGGATACATTTATTTTCTTACTTTACAAATTACTGTTTTGATAAATGTGCTTAGATGTGTTTAGTACAGTATATGCTCTTCTTGTTTTATCTGGTTCATTTTGTGTTTAAATGCTAAACAAAAAAACATATTTAGGTGTAATTTTTTGGGGCCAGGAACTAATTAAGTGGTTTTCCATTATTTATTATGGGGAAAATTCGATCAGAACTCGAACTTCTTAGGATTCGATCCGGAGTTCTGAACGGATTAAATTCGAGTTCTGAGGTACCACTGTACTTTGTTACTATTTTTAAAATATTATTTAGGTAAAATTTGCTTAACTATAACTACCATTAATAACACTGGGAATGGAATGGTGTACCCATTTTTAGGATATCAGTACATAACATGCTCTGTGTGTGTTACAGTAGACCAGTCTGGACATTTGGGCTGCTCTAGAGTCAAGTGACAGTCTTTTACTTTTACCAGAGTTTTGTTGGAGGAAGTGTTTGGCCGTCGAGCTCCTTATATCTGATAAACAGTCTTCAGTCTTTGTCAGCTGTGATGGCTCACCTGGTTTGAGTGATATGTATATCTCTGCATTTTCAGTATTGCAGTGGGAACCAGCACCGTACTTTCTTGCAATATTGCCAAGTATCAACACAGACAGAGTAAGCAGTAATGGGCCCAGCATTTATCCTTGTGGGACACTATGGTTCTGTCTTATGGATTCACGATTCCTTATTTAAATGAAAAACTGAGAGAGGTGAAATAGAATAAATGATAACCAGGAGGGTTCCTGTCCCGTATTACCAGCTAAGGATTCCCAACTAGTCCACAAGAGTGCCATGGTCTGAAGCAGGCAATGTTATCTAGAAAGGACGTATCTGTGTGTGTTTATGCTGTGACTCCCTAATCAGATTACTAATTAGAGGACTGATTGGCTGAACTGTCCTCACACCTGGGTTTGAACAGGTGACCCAAAGCAGCAATTCTCAACCCCTGGGTCGCGACCCAAATTTGGATCACGGCAATTACTGAAAGGGCTGCCAGGCAGAGTTGGAAATGTAATCATTTTAAAACCAGCAAGCTTCCATGCTGATCCAGATTTCCCAGCCCCAGTCCCAGAATTAACCTATATTAATGGGTCTTAGGTCTGCAAACGCTTAGCGCAAAACTAGTGAACACTCAGCCAATCCCAGAGACCAAACCACAGATGCTTAATTTAAAATTCACTGGCACATCCAATCAGATTTGTGTGATAGGCATTGATTGGCGTAAATTTCAGAGTGCACATCACACTTGATCATAGCATTAATTTAGACCTATACTTGATATAGAGTCGCAACTAAGCTGGCATGGTAAAAATTGGGTTGCGCTGTAAAAAAGGTTGAGAACCACTGATCTAAAGGTTATTCAAAAAAACCTGCATGCACACTGGCCCTTTGAGAACAAGATTGCCTGCACCTGGTCCAGAGTATGCAACGGTTCAGATATCACCAGTAAAAATGCACATCTGTCAGTCGTTATTTCACTGATGCAGTTTCTGTGCATAATTCATTAATGTCACTTCTATGTAATGAAAAAGACAGTTGAATTGCAGTTGTTTTGTTTGTGTGTTTTTTCCCAAGATCATTGAGATAAACAGCAGGTTAGAGAGGTCTGAAATTTGCTGGGTCATCAGGTTCAAGACTGATTACATTTAATTGGTTTAATAGCAGCAACTTTCAGAGGTTTTAGGTCATATCCATGGCCGACGACTTTCAAAATATGATGTAACAAACTGTACTACTCATTGATAGTGCAATCGCAGCCTTTGCAGAAACAGGATCCAGCTTATTAACGGGAAGAGCTCACATTAATACAGAAGTTCTGATTCTCCTACGGGAGTGGGAAACACTTTATTGGTTCTGTCCAACACAGCAAATGCAGATGAAGGCTGATAGATATTTCTAATGGATGAAGTACTTGGAATTGTTAGCTATTGTCCCATGGAAAAAATGTTATGATGTCAAAGCTTCTAAGACCTGTTGGGACTTATGCAGGAGTCGGGCCAATAGCATTATTTTGGTTTCCTAAACCCTTCTTCCAAGGAGGCTGTCTTTGGAAGGCGCATGATTGCTCACACGGCAACTTGTGCCAGCCGCTGTCCCAGTGGCTGGTTGCCAGGTGACCACAGTCTGAGCAAACACCACGCCACCTGTTACTGTAATCAGCGCCCCGTTCATAGGCGGACTTTGGCAAACGCCACAATTCCTGCGGGAATTAACGTGGGGGAGGGGTCCGCCAGGTGCCTGTGCCCACCCCCCAGGTATGAGTGACACGAGGAGACAAACAAACCCACAGGAAGATGGCAAATGGATTTCCAGCAAACCTAAGATAAGTCAATATATAAAGTTATGTTCAGTGGTTCCTCTTCACCTCAAATGAGCTGAATCAGGAAAAATGTTATTAGTTTGGGCTCTAGTTTTATCGTCATACTTAGTTCAGACCATAAATTTCTCATGGTGAGATCATGCAACCTAACACAGGATCGTATTATGATCACGGAGGTCACCTGGATGAACCATATGATGCATGAAATGCAGGGACTGAGGAATCAAGAGTCTTTATTGATGAAATTCGCTCACACCATCAACATCTCCCGTTTACAAAAGAACAGAGATATGTCCAGAGTAGAAAACAAAATAAGAGTAAACACTACGGCCCCCGGAGGACTTAAAGCACAAAGAAAATGAAAATAACCGTTACAGTTCAAAAATGAAAACAAATTAGTTATTTACAGCATAACACACAAAGCATAGTATGATGCCCATGTTCAATGAATATATATTTATATATATATATATATTAACATCTGTAATTTACAAAAACAGTGCGATACATTCCAGAGAAAGGGCCAACGACAAACAACGCTCCAGCCAATCACAATCTGTAATTTTGCCCACACATAAAAGGAAGCCATTCGTTTGGTCAATGGGTGGGTTCTTTGGTTGCTGCCGGGCTTTTAACAGCCTCTGATTGGGCATCTCCACTGCGAGTCATGTGCCCATGGCTACCAGTGGATGGTATTTCTCTAAACTCAAGGCTGTCGTATTTCTCACTGGTTGTTATCGCTGTTATTAGTGAGAAGGTGTCAAGGTGGCTCCCTTACCACCACTTGACTGCCTCTACCTTGTGCAAATTTACTTTTAACTCACGGTTAGTAATCTGCTCGATGTTCGATATCAGTTCTGCACCACTGAATCAAAGCAGAATAATTTGCAGAAATAAAACTGGCTGATCTGATACATCCCAGATTTGGAGTCGCGTGCGGTCGCGCGAGTGGCCAGACCGGAAGAAGCACACAGTCACGTTTCAGCTGGATGTATCAATGACTGGCTCTGACTGCCGCTAAAACCGGAATGGATATCCTGGCTGTGCAAAGCGACGCACCTCGCGGTGGCTGGCAGGGCCTTCCATGATGCCCCTGTGGCTGCCTTGTACATCCAGGGGCATCGGACCCTGGCAGATTGAGGGGGCCCAGCACCTTATAGGGCCCCCCCAGCTGCATCCAACCTCGCTGAGGGGTCAGTTAGCACCTCCTCTACTGGCTGGGTGACGAACGATTCCCGTTTCAGTAAAACGACACCCAGGCTGGGGACCCACGCTCCGCCAGGGGGTGTGTGTATCTGTGGAGAATTCCGGTGGCCGCCCAGCTACACCCCTCACCTGGCCAAACTCGTCTTCGATCACTGCCACCCAGGGGGCAGAACCTACATTCCCCGGCTCCTTTGGGCATTGGCCGCAGCCTTACCCCATAGCACCCTGTGATCAGGAAAGGAGTGGGTGGGATTTATCAGTGACTGTCAGGGTATGGGAGCGGGTCAGAGAGAAAACAGAGGTTAGACCAAACCAAAGTGACGCACTCATCCACACGCCGGGCTCCCTCCCTCCTCTGGACGGCCTCGCTTCAGTCCCAGCCGTTGTCTTTGATCATGTGGGCCAGCTCGATGATGAACTTGCCCTCTTTGTACTTCTGGCTGCTCTCAAAGGCATGTTCCTGGGGGAGGGAAGGGGTTCACATGGTTAAAGAGCGGACCTGTCAGTCATAAAACCTAAATTCCGACCCAAACTAGTCCTTGCCCGGTTGTTGGTATGTTTTTCTGGTTTGGCTTCCAACCCTGAAGCTAAACAAAGTCATTAAAACTCATGCTTGCGTTTAAACATGGGCTAGACGAAAACAAGGTCTCCGCTCCAGGAAACACAAGCCCTGTGCCTCGTGTGGCATCTCCAACACCTTCAGGCACTGCTGACCCATGAAAACAAGTCACAGAGCATCGTGGATGTGGAGCGGTAACCTTTGCATTTGATGCACCCTTCCACGTTTCGCACCGAAAAGCCGGCCGGCTCGTATCGCATTTCCACGCCCACGTCTGACATGCGTGTCCCCACAGCCGCTGGGATACCAGACAGGCGGGAATATAAATAACCCAAGCCAAATGGCACAGGTGCGATACATGTGGCCGCCCATGGGGAGGCGCTACCGCCACATCCCCAGATGCCACGAGGAGACACAGGGTACGTGTCAAACATCATGCACCCCACCCCAAACACCACCCCCATGCTCCCACATACGTATTTCCAGCCCAGGGTAGTCTTGCAGTTCTCGCAGTAGATATCTGCCACAGCGTGGAGACCAGTGAGCAGAACTCTCTCCTCCGCCGGTCCGCAGCCAACGTTAACCCTGTGGGGGGGACATCGAGGGTGAATGCGGCTCCAACGCCCCACCCCGCATTTAACGACCAGTGGATGAGAAGGTCAGTAGAGGATATGTTACAGATACAAAACACCCCCCCACCACCAATAAAACCTTACGCACAAATTAATCTTCCCCTAAATAAAACTACCACTTATAACACGATACTCTGTCACCAAATACATATTAAACTTTACATTGGATGTGACTGTTTTTCCTTGATTTACATGCCGCCCCCCCCCCCTCAGGTGGGAACTGAGGAAAGGAGATACTCACACGGAGTTGAAGAGATACGCCCTGCCCTGGCTTCCCTGAAAGGACTGAAACACACAGAGAGAGTCTTTGTAGCTCCCAGTCACTGAGCGGCTGTTACGTTATCCTGACTGTTAATGCCATGGCAGCAACTACAGCTATATTCATGGTGAGAGTATATGGCCATTCAAACAGACGGAATAACCCAAGGGGTAAAAATTCCATAAGGATCTGTTAAATATTACAAACAGTTAAAACAATGTAATTTAAGATGCTTTAGATTAGCTTTTCATACAAAAAAAAATCTAATCCTCTGGTTTCTGGCCAGAACAGCTGAATGGACAGCTAACATCCATGTCCTGCCAACAGAGGGCACTGTGGAGCAAGACCTTGGAGATGAGCTCGTCGTGGTTGGCCAGATGAGCCCGGCAGTGGATGCAGCTGTAGGTGCGATGACAGCTGGGCAGGTAGGCCTGGAAGGTTTTGGAGCGGGTCATGCTGACAGGAGGTGGGCTGGGGGGGCGGTGCAGGAAGGGGCTGCCGGCCCAGGACGGCTCGCAGGGGAAGCACCGCAGCACACAGGTGAGGGCCGTGGTGGGAGTGGGGGGGGGGCACACACCTGGGGGGGGAACAGACTCACCAATTAGGCTTTAATTAGGCTTTAATAGTGGGCGGAGACTGACAGCAGGACATCGTGCCCCCGCCCTCGTTAGCAGGATGACGCCAGAGTCAGGCTAATCCCCGTTTGTGCACGGTTCCGCCAGGCTTGACGTCTCGCCCGCGGCAAACTTAATTAACACCGTTTCCGAATGAAGAAATTCATCCAAAAAAAAAAAAAAAAACAGTTATCGGCAGTCTGCTGTGCTCATTAACAAGCCTCCAAAATATCCGAGCCTTGTTATCAACAGCCAAAGAAAACAAGACCGACGGGGCCTTTAGGAGCACAGACACTGACAGGCAGCCGACACGTGCAAGACGTCTTACAATAACACACACTGAGTGCGGGGGTGTGGCCTGTCGGGGCAGTACGGGGGCTGGATGCTGGTGGTCACAGGCATCCTTCCAAAAACAAATCCACAGATCCACGAAAAGACTGATCATATTCCCCACGTATTTTCTGCCGATTATGTGTTGTCCTGAGAGTGACACCTTCACAGGCCTGTCACCAGAACAGCTGAGACGAGAGTGAGATCAGAGTTACATGAGACAGGATGAGGTTGAAGGGTAGACGAGTTTCCTTCTTCACGAGCCTCGGGGGTTCCCTTCACACGACCTGCTGTGCTCTACATCCCCGTTGTGTTTAAGTTAAGCCCAACCTTATTCAGCAATCTAGTGGTCCAGTTCTGAGCAGCGGCGGTAACATGACCGCTCAATTACAGAACCAAGCATCAGGAAAATCGCTCTGCCGTTTGTCATTCTGGTAGCACAAAATGTAGTGAGAGCTGCAGATCTGAAGATTCCAGAAAGGTGACGTTACGTTACGACCTTTTCGGCCCAGTGGACAGGGACACATCACGTCATGGGGTTTACTCACCAGGCGAGAGGCCTTCATGTGATATCTGCTTAATTAATTATTCATCAGGGTATGCTGGCTGACGTCAATGCAAAGCCTGAAACATACTCCAAGCTGATCTTCATTCAGGCAACGTAATCCTTCTTAACAACACCTCGTGGTGTCAGACTCTCCAAGTATTCAGAAAAAAAATGGATGAGCTGGTAGGCTGGTCAACAATGAAAAATACATGCAGGAGACAACTGATTTTAATAGGTTAATGTGAATGAAAATAGAGAAGGACACATGGCCCGGTGAAAGGGTAACTGGTCCACACCATCATGGAACAGAAACATTTTAAGAACAAAACCAGTAAATGATCACATCTTAAGCCAAAATCTCTCTGGGTCTAGCCCAGTTCACCATTAGAAATGGATGACATACACACAGACACAGACACGTCAACTGTAGCCCAAAGACTCAGAATAAGATTAAGATTCTGAGCTAAAAGAATAATAATAATGTTCCTGGACTCCACAGAGATCTACGTGCTGCTCCTGTTCATGGCACATCACAGACACTTGCCCTACACCTGTTAGCACATTTTACTTGTAGTACACAGCAACAATCCAATCTTCCCCCTGTTCTGCTCTCTTGGCCACCGTAGCTAACCTAAGGATAACATCCATGCCTCGCCATTCTCCCGTTTAATGCCGCCCAATCCAGAAGGTGAGATGAACCTCTTGGCCCGGCCTGCACTAACGGAAACTGAACAAAAGCCGCGCGGATCCTCACGTTTCCAGAGGCGTCTGCTTAGAATAACAAACATGCACGTCAGCAGATGAACAACCGGAGACTTAAGATGCTGAAACCCCTGGCTTGTCACAGTGCAAACGTTAATGACTTATACAGGAAAGGACCAAACCGTACACACATCAGTGACTTTACCTTTCCCCTGGGTGGGGTATCAGCAGGGGTACTTACCCTGGGCGGACAAACATTATGTGGAAAAGGGAATCTGCACTAAAACGTTTTCCCCCCCAAGGACAGTCGACTAGTCATCAACTGACTACCACAGTAAAGAGAACGTCCCATAGGTATGATTTTTCTTCTGATTTGTGTTTGCTGCAGTCACAGGCATAATCTGCGCTACACGTGTTTTTAAAAACACCAGGCAGAGGACACAAGGGATTATTACTCTAATCGAACGGGAAAACAGCAGAGCTGGGCCACATCCATCACAGGTAAACACGATCATGCGTAGATTTGCACCAAATTAGCCCCCGTGAGCAGAATGTAAATTCCGCCGCGCCGCAGTCAATTTCTCTCTAGGCAAATGCGACGCTCGCTCCGCAACGGGCAGCGGAGACTGTCCGCAGCCCGGTCTACGACTGAAAAACCGCAGAGCCCGGCAAACCCACCTCCGTGGCGAAATAGGCAGCCCCCGGCAGCACGCATCTGCAGAAACACACGACGTCGTGTTTTGGGCAGACGGCCCGCAGCGTACCGGGTACGGCGAGGCGCACTCACCTAATAACTGGGGTACGAGTAGCGCAGAATCGGGTCTGCTCGCTTATTCCCTCCGCAGATCGCAGGAGATTTATGGAGAATCAGCCCTTCGCATTGCTTTTTCCAGGGTGATATCTCTTCTCTCTGCCCCCACCTCAACAGACGTGCTGTCTTAGACCGATGCAGTCGCTCACTAGCGCCCCGCACCTCCCAAAATCACGAAATGACAATGAACTAACCCTGAAAGCCACCAGTCGGACCGCCGGTCACACACATGCATAACCATTTGGGTTTTAGTCACTATGGCAGTAATACTATGCTAGTAGTAAAACAGTAAGTTTGCAACGTGATCATTAAGGCACATTTCAGAGCTCCATTCACTTACTGAATTCTCTGTTTACTACCGTGTCTATTCGCGCAAGAAGGGGTAAACAACGCACCCTTGCGTCCAACTTGGGCACGATTTCTTTACGAGGGCCAGATATGAGGATAAAAATAAGTTCATACGACGACGTGCTTGGCATAGATATGGGTGAATATAAATCAATTTTTAGAATGAATATAAATATCTATATACAAATTAATGTCAAATACGAGGTTTCATGTAGAACTAATGTAAAGTTTCCGTGCGGGTCTGCGTCCTCCTTAGATTAAAAATAGTAACAGTAATATATTTATTATTGGTTCGATGTATTTAAAACAAACAAGTAGGCCTACTAAAAACGTACTGACAGTAAAATGGTAATTTACATATTTATTGGTCATATAATTTAACCGCTGCAATGTAGTTTTTACGACGTGAACAAAAATGTACAATCTTTAGTGGTTTTCAAATAATGTAAAATATCATGAAATTCAATCACTGTACATTTCCTAGTTAAATAGCACAGTACATTCGAATAATTATTCTAAAATGATTTCTAAAACATGTAACTACAAGAGAAAAGTGACATACATTCATAGCTTGAGTCAGATTGTGACTTTTTCCCTGTCATATAGATCTACACTCTGATCTTCCTTGGAGTACTTGAAGTGGGCTGGTATTCACCAGTACTCAGTGCCAGCACGTTTTTTTTCTCTTCAAAGTACCAGTACCTATCAATATCTGCTGGCACTGAATAACAAAGGGAGTACCGGCTCCTTATACTGAATAACAAGGGGAGTACTGGCACCCGGTACTCAATGACAAGGGGAGTACCGGCACCCGGTGCTGAATGACAAGGGGAGTACCGGCAACAGGTGCTGAATGGCAAGGGGAGTACCGGCACCCGGTGCTGAATGGCAAGGGGAGTACCGGCACCCGGTGCTGAATGGCAAGGGGAGTACCGGCACCCGGTGCTGAATGGCATGGGGAGTACCGGCAACAGGTGCTGAATGGCATGGGGAGTACCGGCACCCGGTGCTGAATGGCAAGGGGAGTACCGGCACCCGGTGCTGAATGGCAAGGGGAGTACCGGCACCCGGTGCTGAATGACAAGGGGAGTACCGGCACCTGGTACTGAATGACAAGGGGAGTACCGGCACCTGTTACTCAATAACAAGGGGAGTACCGGCACCTGGTACTGAATAACAAGGGGAGTACCGGCACCTGGTACTGAATAACAAGGGGAGTACCAGCACCTGTTTCTCCCCACTTCAAGCACTGTTTCCTCGACTGTACTGGTGAGCATGGAATCAGGCTTCAACTTCTAAAACCAGAGAAAGACTCTACAGGCATGTGTACGGCACCAGGACTCTAATTACACAATGAGAATATTTCAGTTTATGGGTTCAACACCTGTGTTGTTGCTGCCTAGATTATCACGAAGACAACTGTATACTGAATGTACCCAAAAGGGGCCTTAGTCATTGCCAGCCTGGGGCATGGTCACCAGACAGAGCAAATCCTGACAACATCTGTTTTATAGCATTGCCTCATCATCATCATCATCAGGAACACTAGTGAAGCAGTGATTCCCACGCTGTCCCACAGGTGTCCTCGCAGCCAGCTGAGCCAGTGATAGTGCAGTCCACTCACGCTCAGTGCGAAACTGCAATCCCCAGCTACCCGCATACACATGATGCATGAGACCTCATGTTTCGAACGACGCACCGGGTCCCAGGTTTCTCCCATTCATTTTTTTCTCCCATGAGAGATGTAAACAGATGCCAGTTTTTACCACTCCCCCCCCCCCAGTGATGGTCCCTGAAATGCTCATGATTGTGACTCTTTTCTTTTTTGGACCTAAAAACATCTGCGCTTGCTGGTTCAGTGCTTAAACAATGCCTGCTAAGGCTGGTGAGTTTGCAGGCGATTGTCTATGTTGATGTTTGGCCTACAGGTGAATCTCAAGCTAGTCCCCTGGATGTGAGGGAAGCACTGTGGAGTAGAGCATGGGTCAGAATGGGAATGCAGGTGAGTCCGAGCCAGGGGCTGGGAACTCGGAGGGGGAACTCAGCCTGGAAGCTTGACACATGCATGAGAGCAAAGGTGACAAAGGTCAGGTTGCTGGGTTGGTCAGTGATGCTTGGTGAGGCTTCTCTTCTCCATGAAGTCCTTCAGCTTGGTGGGAAAGTCAGTCATGATCCCAGTGGCACCCAGGTCAAAGGCTCTCTGGAAGTCATCCTCATCATTCAACACCCACACATACACCTGCAATACAGTGATGAAAAACACATTCAGATACCACCCAGTAGCCTAATCCAAATCAGGTCTCAATTCTGACCCGCTATCCATTTCAAGCCATGATCAAGATTCCCTATCAAAATCCCCTGTCCAAATCAGGATGCCCCCTGTCCAAATTAGGCCTGAGTCCAAATCTGCTTCTTTCACAGATCTCAGTGGCTTTTCCTACCTGTATTCCTCTGGCTTTTAGGTGTTCAAACAAGGTCTTCCTCATCAGCAGGCTAAAAGGAGACATAGCGTTGCTCTTATCAGCCTGGGGCTTTTAGCTCCTGACAATGGCGAAAGCCGATACAAGCACATCTGTGAGTTACAGTCACAGATGCACATGGGCTGAAGGCTCCCAAGGTCATTAGAGGGCGATATGCAGCCCAGACAGCGTAAGCGTTATTTAAAGCGGACCTCCGCACATGTGTGTACCCGTGAGCGTACTCACGTATCTGCCAGCCAGGTCATGAGGCGCTGACTTCTGGAAATCCTGGCCGGGTCCTTCAGTCTGCAGGGCCGGAAATGAATGCAAAGATGAAGCGACAGAATTTCCAGGGAGGGTCCGTCCTCCACCTTGCCCCCTCCGTCAGTACATCTCAGTGCGGGGCGGGGGGCTTAGCACCACGGGGCTGTCAACAAGAAACCTGTAACCCGATCCACGGGCCCTGTTCCCCTGCCCCGAAAAAACCCGCGTTTGCACCAGCCAAAAGGAGCCCGTCCCGCTCCCCCTGCTCACTTGGTCATGATGGATGGCATGGGGATCTCCAGGAACTGCTCCTTCAGGGGCACGAAGGGCAGCAGCCCCGTGTAGAAGAGCAGCAGCAGAAGCAGCACCCTCTGCAAGCTGAACAGCACGGGGATCCGTGGGTTCTGCCCCGGGAGGAAAACCAGACATTGCTTTTATACCTGTCGCGGGCAAGCAGCGCCCCCTGCTGTCAACCGGCATGCTTCCGGGGGATTTATGACAAATGGAACCGGAGTGACTGACACATTTTGATCTTTATAAACTTGTGAAAAGATGTATTAACTTAAATACAACCCCCCCACCCCCAGTGTACCTCCTTGTAGCACTTCTGTACAATATTGTTCCTGGCATTGCCCCACACTGTCAGATGCTCCCGGTTGTACTTGGTTACAAGTTCTGAGACCTGCAGATACAGACATAAGCACCCATGAAGGTCCATCATAAGCTCATGTCTTCACAGGTCTGCAGTTCGCATCTTTGGACTTTTCCATGACTACTTCCATTTCCTACTACCAAGGCTTTTGTAGGAACTTTGGTTTGATGGGTATGGGAGCACTGCAAAGTCAAAAAGCCTTACGAAAAGATACCTTTGACTGACTTTACAGTTTGGGGGATGAGGATAGGGGGCAGCTCAGGACAGCTGTGATCAGAGAAGAGAACTCACTTGCCAATCACGGCCTCGCATACCTTCCTAATGAGGGTGTCGTTGTTGACCTTGATGTCAACGTTGACGGGGGTTTCTGGGAAAGCCTCGAATACATCCCTCAGCAGGGGGATGTGCTTGTCCTCTCCGCCCTCACACACAAATTCTGCATGGGCGGCAGCTGGTCAGCGTGGACTTACACACATACACACGCATGCAAACATTATATACAGACAACTCACATATACACTGATGCAAGCAAATACATGTGCACACATATATAAATACATTGCTTCATATTCATTGGTGTGTACGTGTGTGTGGCTTATGTACATATTACATTGTGTCCCCACAATGTGGAAAAATCCTGTCATTTTGATGTGGGTACCATTTTTTTCAGTACCTCAACTTTAAAAAAAATCCATGACCGCAATGAAGAAAAAAAAAACTAAAAATGCATTTTGTTTGGATACTTATAGTTAAGGTAAAGGCTGGGTAGGGGTTAAGCTAGTCATTGATGGGATTAGGGTTTTGCCCATAGAAATGAATATACGGCCCCCAAAAAGATATGAATAAAACGTGCGTGTGCATAGGGATAACATTTGAGAGTTTCTGATATCTGAGGACAATCTGAGTCTGTAGCGGCAGGGTCCTGTTGAGCTGAAAGGTCAGTCCTGAAATAAAACCATGAAGCAATACTTGCCTCTCTTGAAGGCGACGTCAAGCTTGCACAGGTAGGGAGGCAGTTCCTGTGGGCCACAGACAGGCATTCATTAAACGCCACTCAGCAGAAAGAAGGCGCTCTCTCCCCGGCCCCGTGACACGACACTCACCGCGTACGTCAGGTCCGAGACGTAAGCATCGACACCTGTGGACCTCTGCAAGTGTGTGTCATGTGACACGACCACCTGTTCGTCCTTGGTTAGGTGACAGTCCAACTCCAACATGTCTGTGCCCAGCTCCACTGCACTGGGGGGGGGGGGCGGAGTGTGAAGGAAAAATAGAAGGAGAGAGAGACAGAGAGATCAGGATAGGAGGAGAGTAAAAAAGAGATATAAGGGGACAGTGGGAATAAGGCTGTTGAGCTATTCAGAAAGCAGCGTACAACAATAGCAGAAAGCAGAGAGAACCTTCTGGAAGGGAACCAAACAGGCATCGAGCAGCACTGGGAAAAGGCACACAGATGGAGGTTATCCTGGCTGCCCGACACCAACAGGGGAAGAGGCTGGCAGTAAATGGCGGCACACTCTAGTCCTGCCCACTGGGTCTCTCGTCCTCCATGGTGAGAGGTCATGTTCTCCAAAATGTGGGAGTGCCCAGCTGCTTCCCTGGGCATACTCACTGTCTGAAAGCTGCCATGGTATTCTCCAGGTTCTCACCAGCCCCTGGAAACATAAAACCATTCACAGCTTACCGGCAGCATCCAAAACATAACAGGTAAGAACATCACACACGTCTCAGCTGAGGTGACATTTTGAATAGAGCACTTCAGTGTCTTAACAACAGGACTGATCCTCAGCTTTATCATGATGACCAGTTTTCATCGTGGGACACATCTCTCCTTTTAAGGAATCCAGATCATCCTGCAGAGTTCAATTTTCTTACCAATTACTCATGCAGTGCCAAATTTGAGATGAAAGACGAAAGCCTTTAAAACACACACACAGGTTTGTAATTATATCTTTGTGGTGATTCTCCATTCATTTCTATGATGAAAACTCTAATCCCAACATGACGACCCCCTACCCAGCGCTAACCCTAGCCATAAGTAACCAAACAAAATATGAGACTTTTTTAGTTTTTTGATTGCATTCACATGTCTTAGTGGGGACTTGAGAAATCAAAATAACAGGTTTTTATCACACTGTGGTAGACATTTGGTCCCCACAATGTAATACAAACCTAATCCACACACACACACACATAATGTTAAACCATAATTAGCATGTAGGCCGGTTTAGGGAACCAAGGAAAGTCTCTTAATTTGAAGGATGACTTTTATTCCTTGCGGTCTCATTTATACTGTAAGCATGCCTTCACAAAGAACCAGATCTGCTGATTCTGTACTGGAATGTATTAGCACTCCTGGTTTCCTTTAAACATGAAGGAATAGCCAGAAGCCGGTGATTCACATTCCAAACAAGGTCTCTGCCATCATGTTTAAACCTCCTTTTCCACATAGTTGTCTAATCAGGTCACTGTATCTCTTTCTTTTAAATATATGCTCTTATTTACCATTTTATTCCTTCTCACCATATCGACCTACAGGCCTCACTACTTTTATTCTTTCTGGGTAAGTGCCAAAGGAGCTCAAGTTAAATATAACACCAAAGAATAGAACAGCTGCCCCCCCACCCACCCCGTGGGACATGGACCCACATCGGTTTTTTACTGCACCTCCACTGCGCCCCCTACTGTCAACAGAGAGATTTACACATATCCTTACAAATGCCATTTTCCTATTGCCTGTTCAGAAACGACAACGACAGAGTCTAAGGACAAAGTACTAGATAAATAAATCATTACACTACACCCATTATATCAGGTCAGTTGCCTCACTGGCAATCAAGCATAGGCTAATTAATTTAAATGTTTGTTATATATAACTGTCCAGATAAAGGCTTCTCCTAAAATCCACATAAACGAGAAACAAATGGCAAGATCAGGAATACTCTAGGATGTCGCCATGCTAAAAACAGTACCCGTGCTTCTCAGACTTGGACCTACTTTAATGGTTTTACAAATGCTGTTCATCTATAACGCGAATATTATTTTGGAGTCGTTATTCTGGCGACTTGGATTATCAATGTTTAGATTGTAACCAGTATCCTTGCCCAATGTCCACAACAGACAATTCTAATATAGGGCTATTTTAAAAAAATAATAAGTCCCAATTAAAAGTGCATGCAAATTCCAAGTAAATTTCTACAGCGAAAGGGAGTTTAGATAGGACCATTGATGAGGAATTATTCTACTATTTATAACAGGTAGATTTTATTTATTGTTTTTATTCATTAGTTCCTTAATTTAAAATCTTAAAAGGCGGTTATTAAATCCACATTACAGGAACAGGAATTCCTTTCTGATGTATTACTAATGATGTGTTAACTGCGATCGGGCATCCAAAGAGGATGACACTTTGGTCCCAGAGGTTGATGGGGCAAATATGGATTAGGCCAACGTTACGCCTCTTACATAAACTAATGATATATTTCAGACTTGCATTTCGTGTGATGAAGCATAGTTCAATCACGCAGAGTTGGTACTTGATGTCACAGTCATCAGTAAATAGTGTAAGTTCAGCGTTAGGTTCACCAAAGCCGGGTAACACGCCTTCTTGGCTCTCGGCTTGCGGCGAACCACTCACCGCCGCGGTGGGAGATGTGCATGCCCCGGAACGTCTCCCGTTTCCTCCGGTGCAGGAGCGACGGACATTTCAGCAACAGAACTGAAGCGAGCACGTATCCCAGCACGGTGGACAACAAGTAAATCATGGCGCACATGTCTCCCCCGTCCCGGTTTCCTCTGCAAGAAAGGTCGGGACGAGTTAAGCGCGATGCGTCGCTAAAAACATAGCTGCCGAGACCTTTCGGTTACCGGCCAGATTGCTTAAAATAACGGCGAGCGTCTGTTACGAGACGCACGCCGATGCGACTGATGTGATGCTCATCCGCATCATCTCAGTGCAAGGAGCGTCTATCCACCGGTCCCGACTGCTAAACGGCGCCGCCTCTGCCGAGGGAATATTGTTACTTCCTAAGTGTTTTCGGTTCTCAGTTATGCTGGTCGTTTTTGAACCAGAGAAATGTGGCTTTGTTCCCTCATTTCTAATCTTTCTGTATTGTACTCACGTTGCTCGACGGTGAATCCCCGTTAGAAATACGCGAGCAGGCAGCCGCAGCCGGTCGCCTCGCCCCCGTTCCGTTCCCGGGTGTTAATAAATACGGCGGAGCAGCGGGACAGGACGCATGCTCAGTGACGGTCCAGGTTTGACACCGGTATCGGGTTAATGACAGGAGTAAGGAACGGGGGGGGGGGGGAGATGCCCTTCAGTGATTGGCCGATCAATCCCTATTTTCAGAAAATACCACCTTAATAAACATGTCGCTGGGAGAACAGGCAATGCGAAAATTAGAAGGATACTGGGATACATAGATTGGTCTGGGTTTGTGGAGTTTTTGGATGGATGTGAAATGTCACGGAGAGCGAGAATTTTTTATTTTATGCGGTATGTTGAGAATTTTAGTCCTAAGGAAAAGATTAAAGAATGCCCATGCGCCTTTGGCATTTGTGGTTTTTTCAGTTCTGGTCGGACATCAAATACAAGCCGCTTTCGCTGTCAAAATAATCACTTAGCAGGGTATTAGGTTTATTCAGAAGCACAGTATAGTTTATATTGAAAAATGTCCCTTTGAACTATAGGTTGCAATCCTTAATCATACGAAACAGGAATCTATTCCTACAGTCCTTAAATTAATAAATGTGTTGTCCTACAGATGTCAGTAAATGAGTAAATCAAAACCACTTGTGTAGTGTAGCTATTTGTGACCAATATAGGCCTACGGACAAGAGCAAATAGCATATTTTCATAATAATGTCTTCCAGATTGCATTTGTCTCTAGTCATTCTTGTCATAGGTTTTTTATATGACTACAGCAGTCATTTTAATGATTGAATGAGTATTGAATGTTTTGTTCCAGTGGTTCCCTACTTAAGGGTGATAATAAGTAGTTACTGATAAGAGGAAGTGTCGCAGTCAGTGATACACATGTTTTAGAAACTCGGACTGTCTGTGAAGTTCTTTTGCCTGGTTTTGTAGCTGCAATTTGTATCAGGCTTAACTGATTTTTTTTAGTATTTTAAACCAGCGAACAATGTCGAGTTATTCTGAATGCCTCCAAGAGTGGAAGAGCCTGGAAACAGAGTATCAGCAAGTGCAGGTAAACTAATTACACTGAACTAAAAGCCTATGTGAATTATCCTAAGTTAATTTACAGATGTTGCGTGATGACTCTTAAAGTCGATTTTTCAGTGTTTCACATACAGAAATCAATGGACGAGATGAGTGAGTACCCGTGAAAGCTATTCCGTCACATTATGCCCCTCTTCTGAATATTTTAATGTAACCTGCCATTTTTAAAAAATATGGTTGACTAACCGAATCGTTTATCTATTAGTTTTAGTGAATTGGCGAATGCGCATCCGCTTTTGTCACGCTTCTAAGTTATTAATTTTGCGTCAATGACAAAAATATATGACAGTTCAGCCATCTGCAGAATGAGATACATGTATTTCCAAAGCTTTAATGACTTAATTGTACCGCAATTAAATCTAAACAAATAATTTTGATCTAACTACAACTCAGTATGATTATTATAATACAACGCTGTTGATGATAAAATCCATTTTGGCATGAATAAAATGTGTCAGTATTTCGTAAATATCTGTCCTCGGCCGAAGTGCTTGTTGTGTCATAACCGAACTTTAACCTGTTCTGGTATTACGTTTTATTGCGACAGTAACATTGTCTTTTTGACCTTCAAACGACTTACAGCAGTGTTAACCGGGTTAATGTTAAAATAACGAAAGTGTGATAATAGTCCTATAATTGCATTAAAACCCAGTTACACGGAACGATTTCGTAAATGGTGTCCATATCTACGGTAAAGGGACCCTAGCGTAGGACGACTGACTTGCATCTCTCTTTATGTCCTTTTAGAGGTTATGCTGTAGTAGCCTTGACCTGGTGTACTCTGGGATTTACCCATGTATTCCTCTTTCTGTTGTAATACTCTGGAACACACCTCAGCTCTCATGCAAATCCAGTCATGTGTTATGTCCAGGAGACCCACAGGTTATACAAGGAGAAGCTGGAGGAGGTATCCAGACTGCAGGAAGCGTGCTCCGTCTCCATCGCCCGGCAAAGGAAAAAACTGAAAGAAATATCACACCTGCTGACAAAGTGAGCACATCTCCTCACCCCCCATCGATACGTTCACTCACTACTGTAATTAAGATCGGTCTTATTGTCCAGCAAAAACACATGACTTTATTCTGTACCACATCAACTCTAAGCAGGTCACTTACTTTTTGTGTAAATAAATGACCCTTGTTTCTTTGCATATGCAGGGGGGTGAACTCAGATGATGCTGGTGATATAGACAAAATCCAGGCATTAATAAAGGAAAGGTCAAATGTCTTTTTTGAAATGGAAGCCTTCCTGCCGAAGAAAAATGGGTAAATCCACTTGGGAATTTGTTAATTCTGCCTTGTCTGCTTGTGGCTTGTAAACCTTGGGCTGTCTTGCCTTAACCATAATAAGACAACGACAAGTTTTGATTATTTAGCAGGGCAGGTGAATATTGGACCATATTAAATTATTACCAGATACTTTGCATGGATATGTGGACTTAGACATTACAGTGTATTTTAATGTTCCATTATTAGTGTATTGTAAGCAGTTACTAATGTTCTTCTGTGAATATTTTATGCAAAGCTTACTGTGTTTTTGTCCTTTCTCTATAGACTGTGTCTCAGTCTCGTCCTTGGGAATGTGAATGTCACTCTCCTCAACAAGCAGGCCAAGTACGTCCACGTTCACATTCTCTATGTTCAGTCAGTAGACGGTTGTACTTCTGTTGGAACCACCCTGCCTTGTTTTTATAGTTTTCAAACGTAAGACATCACCACCTGTGCCACCTAATGCACCACAGCTTACCATGTCCCTCCTCATCTCTACACTGTGTGTGCTATGATGTAAACCATCTGATATCTCAGAAATCAATGTTTGGATGCTGGTGAATATTGTACCGAATTTGCATTATTTATGTATAAATAAGTGGTCAAAATCATGCCACGTTATGCAATATTTGGAGAGATATTCATGATTTACAAAATATGCACTTTTCACTGTGCTAAGACTGTGCTAAGCTATTATGCAAACCTATGTAATAACAAAATAACAATGAGAGCGGTACGTTCATTGAGGTGGCTGTTATACAAACAGATATAGTTCCATCTATCCATTTCCAATACTCACTGTCCAGGGTCATGGGGGACCGGTGGGCTATAGGAGCAAGGCAGGGAACAACCCAGGATGGGGTGTCAACCCATCACAGGGCACAAGCACACACCAGTCACTCACACATGCAGACCTCTGGGCAACTTGGAAACTCAAATTAACCTCAGCATGTGGGGGTAGGGCAGAGTACCTGGAGGAAATCCACAGCTTGGAAGTAGCTCTAGGGCCTATTATGTAATTCACTTTGTGGTTGCCCTTTGACGGAGTTAAAAAATCTGGCTACAGAACATTCTGTATCTTGTCAGTCTTCATGCATCGATGTCACCAGCCTCGTCAAATATTTCTTTGCTGTTGACTAAAGGCTTTTTTTGTTAGCGCTCGCTTAATGAGGATCAGTTTACCTTGTGAATTTTTATCTTTTTCACCTTAACTGACTTTTTCCTAATTGCATTTCATTCTGCCACATACTTTATGGCAGGACGGTTTCCAGTGGTCGTCTTAGCAACTTCAAGCTAAAAATGCAGCAGATTGTACACGCAGTGAATGAAATTCTCACAGATCATGCAGATTACTGCCATCAATGCCAGATAATACTCCCTAAGAGGGAAGGAATCATGAACGAACTCTGACAAACCCTTTTGCATAATAGCATGACGAATAGTGCAGCGGTTCATCCGGGATGTCAATAAAAAGGCAGCTGTAGTCTATAATGCATTTTTGTTTGTGCTTTCGGTGAAGCTCTCACTCCGTGTTTGTATATCAGCGACTTGCGGCGCCTCCTGAACGAGGCCGTGCTTCTCCTCGTAGGTTTGCTTATAAGGATGAGTATGAGACCTTCAAGCTGTGCTTCACCATCCTCATTCTGCTCTTCGCCTTCACCTGCTGCTTCATTGTCAGTAACAGGTAAGACTGAGTCGGGCCTGAGCTTCCAGGGATATACCAACACACAGAAAAGGGGGGGGGGGCAGGGAACCAGCGCTGAAAGTTGTCAGAGAACCACATTTTTACTATGTCTTTCAGGGCACAACTTTTTTTGTGAATGGCAGTGTGGAGATGGATGAGTTTTTCACTATTCGTCAGCCGTAGCATTAGCATTAGCTCGCATGACCTTTCTCGTAATTGATATGTTCATGTTCTCCCTCGTCTGTCCTGACAGAATAGTGGATGCCATTTTAAATTTCCTGCTGGTGTGGTACTACTGCATTCTGACTGTCCGCGAGAGCGTCCTCATCAGCAACGGGTCCAAGTGAGTCACAAGAGGCTAATTAACACCTACTAGGTGCCAGCTCCTTTCTCAAAATCAAATTCTTCGTACTTAGTGGCAAGTAGATGTGGTATCATAGATTTACCATTGGCTCTGAGTCACGGATGTCAAAATTTGCAAGGACTTTAAACACCTCCAGGAATACCTAAACCCAAATGGTCTGGTTTATGATCTTCAGCTGGCAATTTAACAGCAGACACGTGATCTGCCCAAAGTCCTTCGCCTTGGCACATGCAAAACACAGGACTATGCAGAGTTCACTGCATTTGCAGTAAATAAACTGAAGTGTTGCTCCTGTCTGTCATAATCTGCAGGATTAAGGGCTGGTGGGTGTTTCACCACTACATCTCCGCCTTCCTGTCTGGGGTTATACTGACCTGGTGAGCGCCACAGAACCAATCCCTGGATCACTGACATGACAGAGCACATAGCACTCAGATCCTGCCATTAGACAGACTGAGAGTGTTCTACAGTGCTGTTTCTCAACCCAGTCCTCATGGACCCCAAGACAGTCCATGTTTTTGCTCCCTCCCAGTTACCTGCCAGACAGTCCATGTTTTTGCTCCCTCCCAGTTACCTGCCAG